GGGAGTTGGTATATCTTGGGATACGATACAGGTGATTTGATATATTTGGGGACAAGAAACAGAGAGTTGGTATATTTCGACTAGGATTTAGTATATTTTAGGATACGAGACTGAGATTTTTGGAAAAAAAATTACTGAGAGATTTTAAATTTGGAAAAAAAAACACATTTTTAAACACCTGTTTGGTGAATGGTTGAAAAGCATTACATGTTGAGAAAATCCCACACATAGCATATTTGTCACTATTGGAATGTTATAGCACAAACCAGTTAAGACAATGACATAAGTATATTATAGTCCCTTCAAGCAAAGTCAGTGGAAACGAATATTTTACAAGGATACGGATATTTCTGATCAAATCACAATTACACAATATCGTTATTACACAACAGACTCTTTGTAAAATTGGGAAACAATGCTTACTGCGTATTTTGTGAAAGAGAAATTGATACATGTGTCACGTACCGCTTCTGGTTTTGTGACGTCACTTTTGCATTCTGGCAGGAATTTATTTTGTGGACCTTTGACAATTTTATCTGTTTGGGTTACAATTTTGAAAAGCCTGATATTATGATTGAACAATTAATTATTTTAGGAAAATAGTATATTGATTATTGTCATCGAAATCAGCTAACCATGACATTGACGGCCTTTGCATCTCTAGTCTTAAAAAAATAAACGACTCGTTGCCTTTGTTAAAAATATGTTGTGTAAACATAAATAGAAAGAATAATTTATTATGCGACATAAATAATTTGAGTTGACGGGGAGTGCGAGATGTGAGCTGTCTTGTTTTTGATTGGCTGTCTTCTTTTGTACTTTTATATTGCGCATAGTTTCTTGGTTTCTGTATTTTGGATTATTTTGAGACTCGAGATTAGGATTTGGTTTATTTTAGGATGCAAGAATAGAATTTGATTTATTTTAGGATGCAAGAATAGAATTTGATTTATTTTAGGATGCAAGAATAGAATTTGATTTATTTTAGGATGCAAGAATAGAATTTGATTTATTTTAGGATGCAAGAATAGAATTTGATTTATTTTAGGATGCAAGAATATTTTATATTGGTCCGAATACATACTCAAATAAGAATATTTGTAATGAGGCAAATGCAACTATGAATTCTCAATCAGCAGTTACAATATTATAATTTCACTTGGTAAGTGATTATAATAAAAATAATGTCATTTTTCATAAATAAATTACGGGCGAGACCAGGGCGAATGACCTCTGACCGCACATGGATGTTCGTGTCTTATTGATAATTCCAAAACGTCACCGATAGTGTCAATAGAGAATTCACATTTGGAGGAACTCAAACAGATTTTAACATTTTATAAATTATTCTTTGGAAAAAAACCGCTGATCGAGTTGCATTACTGTTTTATTTCACTTATGATTACGTAAATTGGTTCTGATTTGTCAAAAAGATGTTATATACAAGCGACAATTGTCATTCGGTCGTTCATCTTCGACAAGCTCGGTTTTGTCTGCCGAGATTGTGATCGTACATGTAATATATCAGTAAAATAACCAGTCCTCATTTATGTTCCGGTCACTCACATCAAAGATCGTAAATTCACACAATGCTTGTAGCATCTGAGTTTTGTGTTTTGCTTATCACAGTGACTGAAGTTCAGTTTGTAATATATAGTTCGTGTGAATAGTACAATTGAACAAATTGCATAAGGACCAGACAGAGAGACAATACACTATAGATACTTGAATGGTTTAAAGGGGGGGGGGTCGTCACATGCGCATGCGTCAGATGGCCGTAGCGTATCATTGTTTACAAACAAGCGTCTACCCATGAGCCTTTGCGTTTTAGCTTGTGTTGTTATTGTCGCTTGGGACTCGATTCCCGCGCGTGCGCAGGTGACTACCCTCCCGCTTTAAACGTTGGCTTAACGACAGACTCGACACAAAATAACTTAAACGAGTTAGATAACTACCGAGACAGACATGAAGACTAGTTTGTTGAAAATACCACACAAGTCATAACAAACTATAAAACTTCGGACTTGAAATGATATAAGTGACATTGATTACGACAGTGATCATGAAAGTGAAGTTCTTGGATTAATTGATAGTAAAAGCAGTATAATCGATTATACAGTCTGGTTGACATTGGTGACATTGACAGTCGTTTAGTGTGTGCTCGTCTGGCAAAAGCCGATTCACCAAATATTGTTGACTGGTTAAATAAAATAATAATAGTTCTCAAATCGAACGTACACTGATTTTTATTCAAATTTTTGAGCTGCGACTAATTTTTTTGGATTTCCTTTTGTGAATCGCAATAAAGCACAATAACGCATGTCAATTTATATTTGCATTGTGTGGAATTCATTTTAGTATAATATAATGAGAATTGCCAGGCCTATTTATTAGAAAACAATAAACTATGCGAAGTGATTTGCTGTTTTTAATGTGCCCTCCTCTGAGGAATGTGAACAATTTAGTTCCCACTAAATATTTGGAGAAACACGATCTGCTGCGACAACATTTCCCGTAATTTACCAGAGATAAATACATGTGTATTAAATAACAACAGCTGCGAGCACGCCGTTATTTTGTCTTCGGATGCGAACGACAGGTTCTTGCCATCAGTTACTGCGCATGCGCGCAAAAGGTAAACAAGAGCGACGACCCTTGTCGCAAATGTCACACAGTTAATATTGCATGAACACATTCACAGGATTATGTTGGCAAATCACAACAACGTTTTCATGATATGTTGGCATACAAGTATAACATAACGATAAATAAGCGTTGCACAAAACCGGTTAACTTGACTTGAATATTAAATATAATGAAAGAACCAAAATATTCTTTTTAATTGCATGTGTACCGTTGAATGAACCTTATTATGCAAAATGACATACATGTACGCAGTATAGGTTCTAATTTTATCATGATGCATTCATAGTTTGTTATTGTATACACCTCCCTTCAATGAGCGGACATTGTATCAATGTTTTAACCTGATTTGTTCATGCACCTTAACATGGGCCCACTCGATCACGAAATAACTATGAATGTACCGGATCGCACTATTTCAAACAAGTCATCAGATCTAGATAGCTTTTCTACAGAAATATTTAGACACATCCCAGTGAATTATAAACAACTTCTTCTACAGCTTTTTAATCAATGTAATCATGTTCTATGTCCTCATGTTCCATGTACTTATGTTTCATGCACTCATGTTCCATGTACTCATGTTCTACTGTTCCATGTCCTCATGTTCCATGTCCTCATGTTCCATGTCATCATGTTCCATGTACTCATGTTTCATGCACTCATGTTCCATGTACTCATGTTCTACTGTTCCATGTACTCATGTTTCATGCACTCATGTTCTACTGTTCCATGTACTCATGTTTCATGTCCTCATGTTCCATGTACTCATGTTTCATGCACTCATGTTCCATGTAATCATGTTCCATTGTTCCATGTACTCGTGTTTCATGTCCTCGTGTACTCATGTTCCGTTGTTCCATGCACTCATATTCCATTACTGCAATGAAGTTATATTTGTTATTTGCTCACGATCTGGAACTCTTCGGCCCAACATTGATGGGTGTGCAACGATTTCTTAAAAATTTAGGCGTGGTGGCAGACTCAAGTCGTATGAAAATGGATTCTTGGTGAAGACAAAATTGATGCTGTTCCGTGTTGGTATAGCGTCTTCCAGTAATGGTTTATGAACACTCATGCACAAATCAATCTACCCAGTCAGGCAACCAAAGCTTTGTTTGTAATTAAACAAGCCCTAGCTGAATTTGGAAGTGCTGATGCCATTTGAAATGGACGAAGCTTGGTTCCAAGACGTTTGGTGTCGTTTTTACGCAACGGTTTCTTGAAATCCGAAATTGGAAATCGCAAAACTCTATCATCATAAAAAATTCAAACTTATTCTAGATGTTTCTTTGTTCTTTTTAGGCGCTGCATAGCCACCTATTCAAAGTAGTGTTGGCTTGTATTGTGATGCTTAATGCTTGAGGCCGGTGCCCTAGTCTATTTGAAATAAAATATTATTACATTATAATATTTTAGAAACCAAATTTAGCAAGTCGAGAGTAGACTCAGTAAAGTGCAATAAATTGAATATCATTTACAGCCAAAATATGAAGAAAAATACGGTAAGCAAGAAACAGTGTTAAAATATATGTTTTCGGGTTTCGATTGGCATTTGCTTGCTTGCTCGCTAGATTTTATCTCCATTTGAGGTTTGTGAAGGTTATTACTTAAAATTCAGACACCACGTGAGATTTTTTGGAGAAATTATGGCCCAGGCGACTTTTGTAACCGTGATTCTCGCTTAGATTTGTCAGAGGGAGTTGGTCCTCAGGTGACGTGTGTGAGCGAGATTATGACCCAAATGACATTTGTGAGCGGAATTTTGGCTCAGATTGAGGATAAGTTTAGTGACTATACACGTGAACACACTGTGAGTCGCACACTTTGGCGCCAAATCCGCATACGTTTTACATCTGTAGAAAAAAAGTAACACAAGATATTGTGCACGAAAATCATTAAATTAAATTATTGTAAACCCAATATGAGTTGACTCGATGCGACGTGACAAGACATACGCCCTCTCGTGCTCACTGATCGTAGTTCATACAGTGCGTTTTTTTTAAATGCGCAATGGCGTGTCTAGTCACGTGGTAGGGAATTCCCCCAATATTGACAAAGAACGCTGTTAAATCCAAACATAATGTAGGTCATGTTGAATATGAAAAGAAACATGAACAAAATTCAGACCGATCGTATAATTCCGTTGATATTAGTACAAATATAACTCTTTGGTCTAGACTGAGAATATACTATTTATTTTGGTCATTTTTGAGGCATTTTGTTAATGTGATGTCATTTCCGTGGAAGGGGAATTCCCAATCTATATCTGAGGCGTACTAACGCAACAAAATCGTTTACATTTATCCGCCCACGACTTTTACCGAATATTCGCCGTCGTCCTGGCGACCAAAGTGATGAGGACGTGGTGTGCCTACTGCAAAAGACGGGGCCATTCTTTGTACGAAGACAGGGTTACCTACATACAAATTGTGTGCTTGAAATCCCGACTTCTAGGGCGGTGTTATATGAGTCACGAATTTTTAACTGCTCTATTCAACGCCAGAGAACAGCTTCCTCAAAGCAATGGGAAATTCCTGCTGCTCTGTCGGCACCTCTGGGAATTGGACGAACGTCTGACCGCAGGAACACACTACAGCATCTCCCCACGTCTTGCAGATGATGGTAGCAGCGAGGAGGACGCGGACGCCGCGCAGGGAGCAGCTGCCTTTCCTGTGGTCTGTTGTATGTTTCAATATGTTAATGAAGACATATTTAAAAAAGAGTCGTATAAAAACTTCGTAGAGTTACTGAAAATATTTGGAGTTTCAGAGGTTAACTATGACGCCGAAGAAACCCAGGAGCAGGTTGGGAAGTTTCTAGACATCATCATCGGCGAACCTCCGTGCAAACGTCTGTTTTCATTCTTGGTGGAAACACAGCTTGTAGGGAATGACATCACCCAATTTAAAGACAAGCTGAGAGAATTGTGGTTTTGCCCGTATAACACCCCATCTGGCGTTTCCTGTGCTTTTCAACGAGTGTTTGTTGGTAAGCCAGAAATACAAAGGTCACATGGCTATAGGATTGTAAAACCCTCAAACCCATAAATCCATTCTTGTTCTGTCATGCGCACATGTTACCATACCCATTTAAAAATAAATGTGATACCACGGTTACCGTTACGTGCGACTTACCCATGATAACACTTGGTATTTCTGTGGTTGAATCAATTCATTGCATTGTATTAGTATATCGATATATGTGGCTACACCGACTGTTACATTACTGTTTACTGCCACGCACATACTCGTTGCAGTACAGCGATAGTGATCTCATATACAAAGCTGTTGACGCGTATTAACATGAACTTGCTCATCGGCGATTGTAGTTTAGTAACGATGGGGTCAACAAATTAGCATTGTGCTGTGCAATGTCCGTAATATTAGTATATCAACGTGTGTGACGTAGTCATCAGTTGGATTGCGACGTCTATAATTAAACAGAATAATGGACACATCGCTGAGATACCATCAAATTTACGAGTTAGAACGCATTATGGGCTATTTTAAGAGATATTTTGACTTCGAATTTAATTAATAACAAAATCTTATTCCGTTGTAACTAGGTCGACGGGGTTGTCGCATACAATGGCACATGTATACGTATATTTGTTAGCCATTTGGAGGTTAAATCACCCCTCCCCCCTATATCCATAGATGATCCGCGTACGTTGAATTCCATTTAGTCTAGTACATACGTAGACCATCACATCTACTTTGTATACAATACTGAGGAATGTACGTATATTTAAATTCATAATGACAGACGACGAATCCCCCGTGTACCATGCTGGATCACACATGGATCATATATCTACTGTGACGTGAATGCATGTGGTCATCTGTAAATCACATTGTCGGGCTACATAACCGGATAACGTTAATATATTCTACCCATGTAGTGCTCGATTGGTATACATTCAGGTCAAGTGGGTGTATTTCCGGTTGTTTGTCAACAGTTTTATTTCACGGGAATACATGTAACTAGCGG